TTTCAATTAAACTTGGAGACATAGATTTTCTGTTACATTGCGCAGACCTCATTAGTTTTACACTCAAATCTGGTCATATTAATTTTCTGATTTGCATAATTAGTTTTCAGCTAAGTAATTTCGAATTATATTTAATGTGTCTCCAATACTCTCAGCACATGGGAGTTCTTTCTAAGCTTTCTTTGATTTACATTCAACTTGTCAAAAATCAGTGAAAAACAATTCTATACGAAACACTCAAAAAGTCTTTTCAACGAAAATTAATTCCAGCTAAAATATTTTACAGTATTTTAATACCCCCCCCCCCAATAAATGTTTGAAATGCAGACTTTTCTCTTGTTGTAATTTCCATGTTCCCCTCTTATCTAACACTAAAGATGTCTGTACTTAAATTATCCACTGTGATCATTTGTTACTAATAGTTGGGTAATTAGTAATTGATGTATGCGATTAAAAAAAGAAAATTATTAACATGATAAAAGGCGTACTGAGATGATAGTAAAAAAATAGATAACACATGAAATGACAAGCTGACGTTTTCTCTGTATTTGGTCTTGTATTCTCTGGTTGAATGGGCTCCCATTTTCAAGGCCATATTTGTTAAAATTGCCTTTGCCTATAGAATAGTTAAATGAAAATTTTCGAAGAATATAATGCAAACTCTTTTGATGTCACCGTGAAGTTTTTAAGTCCTGTGGCTGGTTGTGAGAGATTGAATTACTTATTAATTTTTGTCCAAACCGCTATGTGTGTGGCTTTAAGTTTCTGCAGGATAACATCCTATCAGATGGGTTGATAGCACACGCCTGTCTCTTGTACTGTTTGTCATGCATGTAGCGATCCTCTGTTACAGTAGTAGATGAGTTTACTGGCTGCTGCTTCTCTTTGATCAGCTCTATGTAAGAACACAAATATGAGCTTCAAATGTTGGCTGTGAAGGTGGAAAAATGAAAGTCTCCATATATATCTGCCATTTGTTTATGTTTTGTTTGTAGGATATTTTCTTCTATTCTCTTGTTTACGACCCACAACAGAAGACTTTGCTGGCAGATAAAGGTGAAATTAGAGTGGGTTCCAGGTACCAGGCAGACATACCACCCATGCTTGGGGAAGGTGAGAAACTGCACTACTCTCAAGTTCTTTTATTACTAGTCAATCTACAGCTCAGGTTTGGTTTCAATAACATATTTTCACTATTATGTAAATAATAAGGGTTTGTCTATTGTATAAGCTTGTCATAATCATTCAATATAGAATTAATTTGGGTTTAATAGAGTAAATATAGTATATATATATAATCAAAACTCTGTCCAAACCAAACACATTTTCTGTTTCAGTATATGATCTGTATAAACCTTGTCTTACTTGCCATGTGGATCTCTTAGTGATGATCTTGTTGAGTAGATTTATATAAATGTGCTCTGTTAGAAGCATGTCTAGTTGCCTGAATGCTCTATTAAAAATTGAACATAAATTAGTTTACTTAAATTCTCTTAGAACAAGTGGTTTTGGGCTAGCATGCACTTTTTAGTCCCCGTTTGGACGGTCCGAAAACGGGGACTTATAATTCGGTCTCCGTGCGTCCGTCCGGAGTCGTATCTCAGAATCCCTTGGGCCGATTCTGTTCATTCTTTGAATGTGCCTAGTACTTTATGTGGGACATATGCGCATGCAGTGGTTTAGCGATTTGATTCAAAATGGCCGACTGGCAGCCATCTTGTTTTTTGAAAATGTTGTATTTTGGACATGCTTTGTCAGTTTTTATTCAAGTTTAGTACATAGATGATACATGTTAGGATACATGTCCCTGAATCTAGTAAAATATTGATATTGTTTTTCTTTCTAGATGATAAAGATGAGAGAGAATTACCTAAACTGGAGACTATCGTGTGGGATCCTCGATGTGGGATAACAGATAGACACATTGACCAATTTATGATTGTCTCCAGGTAAGTGCTGCCCAAATACTACATTATTGTACCAAACGTTGTTGTATACCGAGTCAAATACTTGTATATTTATTTATATTCATTCATTATTTGTTCTATAGGTCTGTAGGCACATTTGCCAGAGCCTTAGATTGTAGTAGCTCAGTTCGTCAGCCCAGCTTACATATGAGTGCTGCTGCTGCCTCAAGAGATGTCACACTGGTTAGTATTACTAAATGTTCTCAATATCAACAGATAATATTAAAAAAAAAGTATTGTTTGGAGCCATTTTGCCATTTTGACCCTTACTTTCTTAGGAAACAGATTAATAATGTAAAAAATATAATTAATGATTCCATGGTGCATTCTCAATGAATTACATCATGTAAATTTCATCAAAATGTATATTACCTTTAATCATTATTCCCGATTCTGTAATATACTAAACTACCTTTTCCTTTCATGTACAGTTCCATGCAATGAATATACTACATAAACATGATTATGATATTGCAAAGGCTATTGCTAATCTCGTTCCTCAAGCTGGACCAGTATTGTGCCGTGATCAGATGGAAGAGTGGTCCGCATCCGAAGCTAACTTATTTGAAGAAGCCTTAGAAAAATATGGGAAAGATTTTAATGATATACGACAGGATTTTGTAAGTCATATCACCTAACATATTCTCTGTATTGTGTTTGTTTGACTATTTCAGATATATGAATACTTAAGTTGTTTGTTTCTTACAGTTGCCATGGAAATCACTGCCTAGTATCATAGAGTATTATTATATGTGGAAAACCACAGACAGATATGTGCAACAGAAACGACTGAAGGCAGCTGAAGCCGAAAGTAAACTCAAACAAGTGTATATTCCTAATTAGTAAGTAGTCAGGTGTTTATTTCTTTATCAGCTTTTTTTAATCACCCTGATTCAATCCTGTATTTTATAGTTGAGAAAATGTTTTTATTGCTCAATATTATAAAAGAAAATTGTATTCTTATCTTCAGCAACAAACCAAATCCAAATCAGATCAGCAATAAACCTGGAATACAGCCACCAACCGCAGGGGGTAGAGCATGTGAAAGTTGTTACGGTAAGTCTGCTGTGCTGAGAAATCTCTGGTGTGACATGGCAACTGGTTTTCATTCTCATCCTATGTTTAGTTTAATAGGATCATGGTGGTAAAATGTTGTTTTGTTTTCTAGCTGGTTCTTCTTTCCAATGGTATTCCTGGGGCCCAGCTAATATGCAGTGTCGGTTATGTGCAGCTTGCTGGATATACTGGAAGAAGTATGGTGGCCTGAAGATGCCAACAAGATTGGGTGAGTTGTTTGTTAGCTTAGCTGCTATTTGTTCACACATTGAAATTGTAAGTGAGTCAGCATGGGTGAATAATTATATATTAACATGTCTCTTCCACTCTACTCAGCAATTTTTTGAAAATAGGATTTGAGTGGTTTCTTTCAAATTCCAGATTTTCTAATTTTAGATAAACTAAGAAGACCCTGACTTTGTCTCTTCTCAGTCACATTAGTCATGTTGTGCACTGGTCTTACGTGATGTGTTCTTACCTTTATGTTTCAGACGGAGATAGACCAGTTCCTAACCGTGTGCTGGATGGGTCCGTAGCAGGTAGGCTGGTTTACCCAAATTTATTGGCTCAACTAACGCTTTTCTTGTATTGGCTGCAGTTTTTTTTTTCTCTTAGTTACTTAGCGGTGTTTAGTTTATGCTTCTAATACTCTAGTTGAATTGCAGGTAGTAGTGCTTTGTAGTGAAATGCAAGTATTCTTTTGTGTCTAGGCATGCTCTTCTTTTCATCTTGGCTACACTCTTTGGGTTCAATTTCAGTTACCTCAGACATGTCAGATTACAACTAGTCCGGACTGTGCTACTTCATCATTCTCTTTCTTGAGCATGCTCCACCGCATAATTTATGAATTGAATATCCACTTACTGAAATAGAATCCAATTGTGTTTACATTTCTTTCCTTTTCTAACCTGCACTATAATATATAGTACCTCTGATTCAGGGGATGAGTTTTTAACTATTCTGCAATTTTGGTAAATTCAGTCTTCACTCTACATTCCCTGTTTTAAACCCTACTTCTAATCACTAGACACCAAACACATAACTATTGTTTTCCCCTGAATTGCAATAAACTGAACAAAATAACTCATTCTGTTGACTTATAATACAGTGCAAGTTTGAGAATAATTAAATTTGTGTTTTAAATATAAGATCTCTTAGCTGTAGCAACAGTGCATTAAAAATTAGTTGAGTAAATTTAAATCACAGCTATTAGTATACGTTTAGAGTTGAACTTGACCATGTTTTTTTTTCTCTTTTTTCAGAGGGAGATCGTCCTAGCCCCACCAACAGAAGCCAGGATCCCCAGTATGCTTGCAATGTATGCAACAAAGCTTTCTATAGACAAGAACGTCTAGCTGCTCATATGAGTGCTCACAGACCATTCCGATGTACCATTAGTGGTTGTGGCAAGGTTTGCGTACTTCATCCACTCACAACTGTTGTGAGAACAGTAGTACAAAGAATCCTAAATCACGCAATGTTTGGCTCCAATATTAGACAAGTTTTCACAAAATTCCAAAAAAAAAAAATGAAATTAAGAAATCTCTTACTGTTCTCAAGTGTAACGTGTAATTGGTTTATTTCTTGTTTTTGTCTACTCAACAGTCTCATTTGTTTTGCTGTCTGCTTCTCCTTTATATGCTGTCTGTCTCTTTAGTGAGAATTGTAAGGAAAAAAAAGCACTATAGTCCCAGACCTGCGCTCTAGATTTTAAGGTGTTCGTAAAAAAACATTAATTATTGCAAAATGCACGTTCAACTAACTGCTATGTATTGCTAGTTCAGAGCTGAGTACTGTGTTTGCTATATTAGTAGAGCATGTGATTACGTAATCTACAGAGGTATTTCTCTGGTCAAAATAAGTAATATTTAGAGAACAATAAATGTGAATTTTAGTATATATGCACTTCTATTGGAAATGTGCTTTTAATAGAGCAAATACGGTATTGTTGACATTTGATCTTGACTGACACTTCAAAGCTTGCTCATAAAAATAAAGAGATGCAGCTGCCTGGGACTGTAAGTGTTAAGCTAAACCATTGCCCACGCCCACCGAACATTGCCACACCAACTTATGTTCATGTTAGATTTGTATTATATATAAATAACCTGCATGTGCCTGTGTTTTTATTTTTTTTAAACCACTGGAAAAATAAAGTGAAAATGAATGTTAGGCTGTTGTATCATCTGCAGGAATTCAAACTCAAATCTCATCTAGCTCGTCACTGCCAGACAGTACATGGACTTACTATTCGTAGCAGTTCTACCAAACCTACTGTTTTAAAGACTAGACAAGCGTTCTTTCTCAGTGCGACAACATTGACCAGGATTTCTAGAAGAGTATGTAAAGATATATTGAATTCGCGGCATCATGCAAGGTCACCGTTTTCACCGATCAATATCACAGCAATCAAACAAGAATGTGAGTGAACTTAACAATGAAGTGATATGGCTTGGATTTTAAATTTATTTTTCTAGAGCATTATTTGATTAACTCTTGACGGGGTCAGAACATGACAGTTTATTTAGCTTACTCTGTCCAAGCAACCCATCTATCATTTACTAGGCGTCACTCTAATTCAGACATCAGAGAAGAGTGAAAAGCTTAATTTGGTTCTAAAATAGTAGTTAGTAGTAACAAAATGTTGAAAAAACTTGTCATTTAAAAAAAAATGTTTTTATTTTCATATATTTAATGTGAAATGCATTTATTGATAAGCTATATGAAATGCAAGTAAAATTCAACTTAGTTTTTCCCCGTAAGTGAACCTTTTCGGTCACATGCGCATACAAGAGTTGACCGGAAATGTGTTCTTTGACCTGATATGTCAAGTCACTAATTCCAATCAGAAAACTGGATGGTGCCTACCTTATTCCATTTAAATATATATTAATGCAGTTCAGTTCAGTGACCTCATGGCGAACGCAACACAAAATAGATTTACCAATGTTGTGGTATGACCTTTTGGCTTTGATTTTGATTGGAAAACAGCACGATTTCTTTTAAATCAAGGAATTAATTGTTTTTGGAAGATAAACTGAGATTGACGAAGAATTTACCATTTTTTACAGTGATAACGGTTTAAGTTTACCCATTCTAGCCACAATAAATAGGCGTCAATGACGGAAAACTCAAATTAACTCTTCGTCAGGGAAAGATTGAATGTTCAAAAAATTACTCCTAAATTAGAGATTTTACACTATGCTGAAAGAACATGTCATAGTGGATTACATCATAGGAAGCTAACTGTCTAGGCCTACACATGTACATAATTTTGTTATATGTATTCACAAAAATGTATTCAAACAATGTGCAGTGGCGTTCATTCCTCATTTTGTGACTGTCTATTTTGTCCGCTGTTGGGTTTGATATTAATTGGGGCAGTCATTGACCTAATTGGTGTTTTATCATAGTAGCATGTGCCACTTACAGTCGTCAGACTCACTTTTCTTTTCACAGACTCACATGGCAGCGATCTTTGTATTTCTACTTCATTAGGCCAAGTGAGATTACCAACTGCAGCCAAGACTCTGGCATTAAAGAACAAAAAATGGCCAGATTCTAACGTGGTTGTGAGTAAACTGGGTATTGATGTGAAGTGTGAGTTGCCAGCATTATTAGAACGTACAAAAACAACCACATCAGAGCCACCCAGGTTGTCGTTTCCTCCTCCTTTATCAATGCCAATCTTTCCTAGAGTGGATCAAAATGATAAAGGTAAGTATCGTGTCTTGTTTTATCAGTCTCAGTATCAGCTGTATACTTTATCAATTCCTGAATTTTAATGCCTCATGACAACACTCTTCCAAAACCATTCTGTAGACTTAATACTTTAACCTGTTGAGTGTCAGATATTTTTCTCATTCAAAATTTAGTGCAGATATCTTCACATTTTGTAAAGTTTTCAGTAAATGTCATCACCATTTTTGGCAATACAGAAAGTTTCAGATATTACTTTGGTTTTTTATCAAAAACAGACTACAAAATCAATTTTGTAGGTCGTGCCAGAAGTTGAAAATGGCATTCAATTTGTTTAAATGAGACAATTCACACAACGACTTTGCTACTTGGCTTACATAGTTTCGTACAATTATCCCTGCTTTAACAAAACTTTTTTGTCATTTTTGAATATATTTGTTTACAGCAAAAGGAGACAATACACAATCTATCAATTCCATCTCACCTACCATACTCAGGAAGAGGGGTTATGAACAACATAATGGAATCGATGGTATGTGTCATTGATTGTATATTTGTATGGGGATGGTTTGACAATAGGTGCATGCTCAAATTGGTGAGAGGTGGGGTTTACATATTTCCTTGTTCACCTTCTATGTGTATGGAGAGAGATCAGACAAATTTACTCGTGTTCATTTGATTTGCATTAATATCGAAATTCATACTGTACTGGTTTATATTGGAGTATGGTATTCATTGTCAGTTGTGGTGTGCAAGTGTGCTTATTAGGATTATTGGGGGGGGCTAGCAATGTCCAATGTAGGTACAGTTGGTTCAACCGATCACCCGATCACTGGCAGCGTAGTGGTTGTCGCATCAGACTCATAATTGGTACACCCAAGTTAAAATCCTACCTTAGGCTGAACATAAAAAATGTTGATCCATACCCTGGGTGAGTGTGCCACAGACTCAATGGGAAGGCCAATTCCACTGGCCGAGATTCATTCACTAATGAATGCGACTTTGGGGGAAATTCTTAAGGTCCACAGGTGCTTGTGTTGGACGAGCCTGGTTGACACCAGCATAGTGCATTAAAATTGCCATTTGATAGGAATAGGAAGATGGCCACACAGCCCTGTCATGTAGTCCCAAATATGAATTTGACTTCAGTGGCAAAAATGTACCATGTGTCAGCACTAGCACTTGCAATTTCCACAAAAAAACGGTGACATTCAACTGTCGCCTGGCAGAAAAAACATCATGACTAGCAACTGGAGTAAGAATTTTCTGATTTACCTTAAGCTGTGCTTTCTTGTTTTATTTGTGTATGTTTATGTATGCTATTGTCAGTGTTAAAAAAAACATGCAGTGTATGATGTTGAAGTAGATGTGGTATGGTGTGTGTATTAATGAACGTCACTGAGTCTATACACTGTACACTTGAAATGCTGCTCCGCTATCCCTGGGATAGCACCAATGCATCATGGGAAATGTAATTTGATTGGTTCACCTACCATTTACTGTGTACGAAGATTACTGTAAGTTTTAATCCTGTGTGCTAACATCTTGCATACACCATGTCTACTTTGAAGAGCTAATGCTTTGTATTAACTTTTTGATTTGAATAAACCTATGATTGACATTTTGAAGACTAGGATGGCTGTTCAAAACATTTCTTGTCAACTTTCAGGCAAGAATTGTGCTTAAATCTTGCCCAATTAGTAAATTAACTTTGAAATTGCGCTTTATAAATATGCATGATTGTATACAACAGAAAAATAAAATACTTTATGCGTTATGATCAAGAGCCATTTTATGGAGCATTCCAACCAAATACATAAACATGCACTGTGATTTGCATACTGAAATCTGGTCACCATCTTTCCTTTTATGCACCTGTCGCCATGGTTTAAATTGTACTAACAAGTCATCTATACGTTCTTCTGATCCTTATGACATGCATTAACACACCTAACCCACTAATGTTCCCCCCGTACATATGCATATAGGTCTGACTGCTAAACGTTCTTCATATTCACTATCAGGGATAACTAGACTCTCAGCCAGGATTATATCTGCCAAAGGTACTCATCAAACACACATCTCAGTTTCTCCATCATCCCAGTACTGATGCCTCTTGTAATAGGCTCACTGATCACATCTTTCTCATTTTAACCGTACTGTTGCTGTGATATCTGCTCCACCTGTGTCTGTTATGTGTTCTTCTTCTTGATGGTATATTCCATTGATGTTTGATGATAGTGTCAGTATGTGGCATGGTGAAGCTATTAAAACTGTATCTTCAGCGTCTACAAATCAGCACGGTGAACTGATTCAACACCTTGTTTACCGTGTTTAGTTGATCCGATAACAATCTAAAACCATCATAATATGCAAATGAGTCCAGTGCGTCGATATCAGTGTTGTGATCGTCTGTGCCTGATCTGTCCGAGTAGTCTGGTTAATCCCAACACGTAATGCATGTAATACTGTAAACCACTTAATTTTCCCTGCTTGGAATTTTTCGTGAATTGCTGATTTGTATGGCATTTGTAAAAGCCGCATGCATTCAGTGTCAGAGGACCCTAGAGAAACATTCATGGCTACAAAATTTCAATAAATCGTGAAATTTACGAAAATTCGTCTGTTGCAAAATTCAATTTGTTTACAGTACTTTATTAGTATATGTCTGTGTTTTTAGTGATTGAACATGCAATATCTTAGTAGTGAATGTTTATGTGTATGTTACAGTACGTGTACATGTCAAATTTCAAGTCTTTAGTTATTGGCACAGTAATTGTCTCGTGTTTTTACTAATGTAATTATAATTTCTTAGGTGGAGATAAAACTGTCGTACATCCTCCACATGAACCAGTCAGATCCGGACTCAGTAGACATGCATTGGTTAGTGAAATAATCTCACTTCTACTTTAAAATTTGCAGATAACTGTAGATTATTGGCAAGCTGTCACTTTTTTGCAGAATGATTTCGTCATGCATCTGGGGAGATGAAATTACTTAAGGATGGACGTGGAGAAATGCAGAAAGAACTACAAATTCTTTATATTTTCACTTAACTATGTGAAAGAAAAAAAAAACTAAAACAGGAATATTCTTACTTGTTACCATGAAAATAATGACTTTGAAGGTTCTCTATAACTCTGGTGAATTTTTTGCATTGCAATCTTGAGCACGTACAACTGATACCGGAAAAAGCCAGTTGCAGAAAAAAAACTTCCAAGAAATCCCTGTGTCTTAGCCGCTGCGTCCATCCTTACTGCTGACAGTTTCCACCATGAGAAAAACATACTTACATTTTGTTTTCCCATTTGATACAGTCTCGTAATATGAATGGCAGTCGTCAATATCCCAGTGGTAGAGTTGAAACCATGCCAATGAGAAAGAGACGAAGAATTAATTGGATGGACGCCCCTGATGATGTCTATTTCCATGCTAATGAGAACACCAAGTAAGGATGTAACCTCTTTGCACGCCCATACCTTGTTTTAGAGTGTGCCTCTCATACAAGCCTAATGTCTTTAACAGTTAATAGAGCAAGTATAATAACGGGTTTGTAAGAGCAAAAATTTAAACTATTGTTAATTTTGACCATTTGCTGGGTTTTAACTTAGCACATTTAGCCCAATATAAGTTAAATTAAAACTATACTATTAATTTAGCAATATCATAGTATTTAATACCATAGTAAAACTTCATACAGGAGAAAGTTATCCTTTGCAATAATTGTTTCAAAATGCAGTTGATTCAGTTCCTTTCCTTGTTTCAAGTTGTGTTGTCGAGAGAGAGTTGGCTCTTGTTAGGTTATCAATTTTTCATCACTAGATGGCGCTCTTGTGAAATCTGACATTAGTTGGATTAACAAATGTCACCACTTGGTGGCGCTGTTTGCATAATTTGATAAGCATTTTGCTCAACAATTTTTGCCTTGCCCCTAATGTTAAAGGAGAGTGAAGTATATTAAGAAACTTTTATCCGTTGGCAACATCATAATTGTTATTATTGGTAATGTGCG